TTTTTTTTTTTTTTGCAGTTTTTGGCCAGGGCCAGGTTTGAACCCACCACCTGCAGTATATGGGGCCAGCGCCCTACTCCTTTGAGCCACTCTCTTTTCCTTCTTAGATAAGGAAAATTGTGCTGCTAAAAGAGAAAAGTAAATATGGAATGTATTCATAGTTTATTTGCAGAAAATAGACACATTAGGTCAAATGATTTGAATGCTTTGTAACTTTCTGTAAGTAGAATTTTGCCAGCAATGTGACTCTTTTCATATGGCTATTTAATCTTGTTTTTTCCAAGTGAAAACTTACTTGCCACTTTGCTGTTTGGGAATTTATTCCTACATTCAGCATACTTTTTTAAGTTTTAAAACAAAGAAATTTGTGGGTATATAATCCTCAGTTTTCAGGATTTTATGTCCTAGAAAAAATATTTTCCCTTTTCTAATTTTAAGTGTGTATTCTAGCAAATCATTTACTCAGATATAGTTATTGAATTATCACAAACACATTTGGTATATACAGTTGGCAAATAAAGACAAACTAAATTTTGTTAATTGTACCTACTGTGTGGCAGATGTTCTAAGCATCTTACACATTTAAATCCTCATCATACCCTGTGTCTATGCCTGTCTTACAGGCCAGGCACCGAGAGGTTAAGCCGCTCGTCAGGGGTCTTGTGAGTGGCAGAGCCTGGACTCTGAGCTCAGACCCTTCTCAGAAAAGAAAGGCTTTGTGTAGGCAAATTTATCTGGATCTTAAACACTTTCAAGAATTGTTATTTCAGATGAAAATTCTTCACCTATTCTTATAAGTCTTAGGTCCTTTTTAGTACATTTTACCAGTTCATTTGTTCCCATTTATAACTCAAATGTAATATAAACCTCTTTTATTCCTTAGTCTTCAGCATTTTAAGTACTGAATGGAAATATTATAGATTTGATTTTAAATTTGATAAAATTATACCAAAGATGATTATTCTTTTTTATTTTTATTTTTTGCAGTTTTGGCTGGGGCTGGGCTTGAGCCCACCACCCACCCCCGGTATATGGGGCTGGCACCCTACTCCTTGAGCCACAGGCACTGCCACCAAAGATTCTTAGTAGCCAGTGCAACTAAAATTTTTGTTTTCATTTTATTTTATTTTATTTTTATTTTTGAGGCAGAGCCTCAAGCTGTTGCCCTGGGTAGAGTGCTGTGGCATCACAGCTCACAGCAACTTCCAACTCCTGGGCTTAAGTGATTCTCTTGCCTCAGCCTCCCAACTAGCTGGGACTACCGGCCTGTGCCACAACACCTGGCTATTTTTGGTTGTAGTTGTTGTTTGGCAGGCCCAGGCTGAATTTGAACCCACCATCTCTGGTGTATGTGGCTGGTGCCTTAGCCGCTTGAGCTACAGGTGCCAAGCCTGCAACTAACATTTTTTAATTTAATAATCTTTGCAGAACCACAAATGCTATCACTTCTGTGTAAATCAGTTTTGGCAGCACAATATTCACTTTGTGAATCCACCCATGTCAATATACTTTTGAATTATAAAGTATATTTTAAATATCACATTAAATTCATTTTATAACTTCATTAAAAGGTGAGAACTAGAAAATAGTAATATAAAATGTATGTATGGAATAAGAAATAAACAAGACCTATTTTAGCCAAATATTTGACCAAATTTCTGTCCAGTATTGTAGTATACTTTGCCTAATGATGTTTAAAATTAACTAAAATTAAAAACTGTATTTTTGCAATTGGCATTTTTTGTGTTACTTTAATAACATCCTCGGCATTAATGATTGACTGCAAGGAAGCCATGCATTGCAAGCCATTGCTTAGCCTTATTCGCTGTTGTGTTTAAGATAAAGTGATGGAATG